TCCTTCAGGTTTTCTCTGTCCATCAGGGTACTGACACCTCAGGGAGAAGGGAAAAGAGCTTTGTTCTGTATCCTAGTCGGCTGGCTGAAGGGCTTGCTTCCACCTTGTTCTGTTGGCACTTAGTAAGTTATCAGGCCATAGGCTAGATGCTGAGGATACAAAGATTAATTACAGACAAACAAGCAAAGAAACATGGTTCCTAGTGTCATGGAGCTTTCAGTCTAGTGGGCAGGTACCAATGCCCTGACTTCCTAAATATATATAAAAGACCAGAAATATTAATGTGGAAGTGATAATCCTATTTGGAAATAGGCCAGAGGTTTAAAAATATTAAATTGTATCTCAATGTGTAAGAAGTCTCCTTAAAAATTACTTTAAAAAACAGAAAGGATTTACACCTTTTTCAGTCTGTTTGATGGCCCAGACAGAAAGGCGGTTCTAAAGATTTTGTCACAGTGTAATGCAATCTCCCTTGATTGTTACCCCAGGTGCCTTTCCCTCAGTGAAATCTATCATTAAAAGAAACTCCTACATGTCAGATGAAGTGAAATGGGGGGAAGAATAGGAGAAGGTCTTTTTCCCAACTTCCGGAGTTGGCACTAGTGAAAAATGTATTCATGAAATTGTGTTTCTAATACAAACACCAACTTTTCACCTAGCAGCAAAGCTCTTTCTTTCACTTTCTTGCTACCTTTTTTATGATTATAAAAATAATACATGCACATTGTAGACAATTTATAAAATATAGGGAAGTATAAAGAGAAGAAAACCTGTAAGCTCACTAACCGGTGATAATCACTTCTAATATTTTGGTTTATTTCCTTCCAGTGTTCTTCATTTTTCTATGTAAATAAGTATTCACAAACATACATATATTTTGCATACCTGTTATCATGCCATATATGTATAGATTTGTATCCTGCTTTTTTCTCTCATCATTAAATATAAAACACATGTTTGTACAATTAAATATTATTTTAAAACATCAGCAAGGCTATCTTCATACTTATAATGACTTTATTTCTCCCGTTAATCTAAGTCCAAATATTTTATAAGAAAGACAGAGTTACTCCTCATTTATGTTAAACTTTACCTTGAGAACACATCAACTGGAAAAGTAAAAAGAGGAAAATCCTGTTAATAAAAATCTCTGAAATCAATTAAGAAATAGGACGTTTCTGCAAACTTCACTTTCCTTCCTGAAGAGAACTCCAGAAAAGTCACAAGAGGTGAGGGTAGTGTCCAATTCTCTCTTCAGATCTAACAGGTAGGTCTTTACGATTTTATAGTAAAGTCCAGGGTCCTGACTATAGACCTTCATCCTAGAAGCATATAAGGCTTTTTTTTTTTAAGTTTGGAATTTCAATTCAAAGACTTGGTTGCACAAATATAGCACAAAGTAACCTGATTAGACAACAATCTATCTTTTAACAACAAATTCAGAGATTTTAAAAATCTGGCTGGAATCTCCTCCCCATCATTACTGAAATGTGGAGGCTTCATACTTTGGAAAATACAAATTCAGAAACTTTTTAACATAAAGTTTACAGGGAAAAAACAGTATTTAAATTATATCTTAGTTTTTAATAACTATTTATTATTTTGAATACAGTTTTAATGTTGACTTGGTGATAAAAGTAGCACATAATCATTCAAGCCACTTTGTTTTCTGTCTTATTCTCTGAACAACCCTATGAGATCTGTGTGTAGGCAGAGAAATATTGCTATCCCAGTTTCAGAGACAAGGTCCTTAAGATTCTGGAAATGTTAAATGACTGGTCTGCGCTCACACAGTAAGCCAAAGAACTGGGGTCAGAAACTTTTATTGTAAGCACATCATTCTTTTCAAATAATTTATTTTAAGTATCTTTAAGAGAACTGTGGTTTGCCTATATTCTATCTTGTTCAGAAATGTATGGTATTCTGTCCAACTCTGTCACAAAGCATTTTTTAAATGGAAAATTGACAATCTCGAGTTGGCTCCAGAGGAGGGTGATCAAGACTGTGAGAACTATAGAAGCCATGTTCTATCACCAATAATGGATGAAGGAATTTGGTATATTTAGCCTGGAAAGAGAAGATCAAGAGGAGATAAGAGAGTTCTTTTAATGTTTGAACGGCTGTCAAATGGACAGACAAGCCGACTCATTCCACATTGCTCCAAATATCAGGCAAGAACAATGAATAGAACTTCAAAAGAAACAGGTTCCTGCACAATAAGAGATCTGTCTTTTGAACCAATGGAACTGTTCAAATGTGGAGAAAACTACTCTCTATAAGAGAGTGAATGCCTCTGCCCTGGACACATTTAAGGAAAAGCTGGCAGGGACACTGTGATGACTTTTCTGGTTCCTTATATCTTCCATTTATTTTTCCTTTGTTTCTCTTGGCTCACGAATGCAATATACAGTACACAGTATATGACAGAAGAGAAGCTGCTATGAGTCAGGTGCTTCCAAACTGTTTCCCAGAGGAAAAAATCACCTGGGGTAGTTGGACAAGGAGCCTGGGAAAGTTGGGTTTAACAAGTGCCCCAGGTGAATTTTATCATCATAGAAGTTTAAGAATACTTTTCAAAACATCATTTCATTTAATCCTCACAACAATCCTGTAGGGCAGATGAGAAAATTGAGGTTCAGAGTTATTTAGCAATGTGCCCAAAGTCACATAGCTATTAAATGATAGAGAGGGATTCACAGTGAGGGAGTTTGACCTGGAGTCTGAGATATTACCCTCTACAAGACACTGAAAAGAAGACACTAAGAAAGGAAATGGGTAACTTGAAGAAAGGCTTTATTAAATGTGCATGTTGAATTTTTAAAAATTAAGTCATGATTCCTTTGCAAGCATAGTAAAATGTGGAGGTTTGTAAATGATAGTGTTCGGACTCAGGCAGGAACTATGTTGAAGTTCACTTTTTTGTCTTTCATGAATAATTATGAAAAGGGTGTACTAACCAAATAAATAATTTCAACATGATTACAAAGAGAACAACATTTTAATGCACTTAGCAGAAGCAATTTACATGCATACAATTAATGTGCTAATTTCAGTGATCTTTAGCTATTCATTAAAACAGGCCTGGCAGGTCCTGTACTTGGCAACACTTTGTTAGTCATTTCCTGCTATTACTTTATGTACTCAAAAGTAATCAGCCATCTATAATTTAAGACTTTTCACTAATTAAATAGCCCTTTTTCTAATTATGTCCAAATTAGAGAGGTTAGTGTGTGGATAAATATGTTTGTGTTTGGTTCATGTATTTAGAGATGGTGATTTCTCTGCATGTGGCAACAAAGAACAACATGTGATCAATAGTCTTTAACGCAGAGCATGGGGGATTGTTACAGTGAACAAGAAGGACCTTTTGACTTAAAATCTGAGCAGCAGAGAAAAAGTATTGTCATTGAGACGGGCTTTATGTTCAGCCTTGTAAACCTAGCAAGGTCTGGATTTGTTGCCCTTCAGGGAATAATACGAGGATCATCTGTTTTTTCAGGCCTTTGCCCAAGAGATGAAATGGAATGAAGGTTGAGGGAGAAAACGAGTTAAAGGTTGTGTTTGCAGGAATGCGTTTGCTGACATTGATCTATGGGTAATTTTGTGATTGTAGGTTTATTCACAAAGGGAGCTCAAAAAACAGATCAATAAGAAAGCAATGGTGAAGATGCTGAAGAAAAGGTGATTAATGAAAAATATGGTGAAGGTGCAATCTGCCATGTAGTATGAATGCTCCTTCATTCAGCACCCTATAAATAAATATGCATCAGATAGAACGGCAACATTCCCTTGGAATATCGTTAGAGCCAGGCAGAATCTCATCAGAGCCCATGCTTCAAAGAGCAGTTCCTCATGTCCATGGAAGCAAGTTTAAATTCTCTTGTGTAAACTCTGTAAGCAGTTCCACTCTTGCATTATGCATGATTCTGACATCTTGTAACATTAGCAGTGTTCTAAAAGTGATTTCCAATATTATTTCATGTGTTACGTTTTAACAATGCTATTTAGGTTAGGATTTTACTTTGGCCACATAATATCTTGTTACATTTCCTCATATAGCATCTAATTATGGTAGCATTACTGTAACTTAGTACTGTATAGATAGACAAGGATTTAGTGTAGCCTTAAAAGAATTTGTTGCCTTTAAAGCCAATGCTTTCTTCTGTCATTTTTAATGCGCTGATTTACTATGTAATGATAAGTGTTAGGCAGAATCCCAGCTCCTTATACCAGGGAACTGATAATGAGTCGTGCTAAAGTGAATACCAAAATCTAAGAAAACTAAACGTTACGGTGGGTTATGTGTCTTTCCGAGGATAACAACACTCAAGTTCTTAAATACAAAACTCCGAGAGGAATTAATCCTCGGTAATCTTGTGACGAAGCAGAAAGCTTTACTCGTCCCATTCTTGGGTCTCTGTCCTTATCCTCTTTTGTAGAAATCCAGGCTTTTCTCCCTATTGACCCCTGCCTTCAAGAAAGGATTTGAAATCAGGCTTTAGCACCTAGAAAATATTGTGTCAGAGAACTTACTCTCCTTATTTCATGTGTATCTCAGTCTTATTATTTTGAAATACCAGTTTCCCATTTAAATTATTTAATCAGCTAGTCATCCTGGGTAGGACCCGGGTAGCAAATGTGCAAGCGGATTTCTTTCAGATCTCTCTGTTTTTTAAAGATCCAGGTAGAGGCTATATCTACACTGCATGAAGGATAAAATTAAATGCTTTCAATTAAATTCTTAATTTGGTCCATGAGTCAGAGAATTGAGAAATAAAATAACTATTTTTAGATTTACTATAGGAGGTAGTCTAAGCATCTTTACTGATAACCAAATGATTACATATGTTACTCTCCCTGGATTATAATTGATACATCTAAGAAAAAATATTTATGTGGAATATGTGTTATGTGTGTAATACACTGTATGAAAAGCAAGTGCTATATGCCAACTGCTTTACGTACGTTATTTCAATCAAGTACTCTGCATACAATCTTACCTTGGACGAAACTGTCCAGATGAGGAGGCAGAAGTCAGGGCTGAAATCCAGTTCGGGTTCTCTTTGCCAAGTCTGAGAAGAGACATGGGCAATGTTAGCCCTAAGGAATGAATGCTTTTTCCTAATTGGTTTCCCCAGAGAGGGCACCTTTTTCTAATTCACTGTATGACCTAGTATTAGTGCTGATCTCTTTTCATACTCAGAACAACACCTCAAAGAATATATGTTTATAGGTGAAGAACACAAGAGCTAGAGGGGTTAAATCGCCCACCTGCTGAGATACATCAGAACTTGCAATTAGACTTGTCTGCCTTTAAATACCATGCTTCCTCCCCCCCGTCCCCCCAAAAAAAGGGAAAGTGGGAGGAAACTCACTTATGTCCTTGGTCAATGCATAGGTAGCCCAATTGTTTGTAGTATTGTGCTAATGAAACTACAAAGCCATCAGGTTTAGTTAAAGGCAGTGAACTACATTTTGTGTTAAGTTATAACTGTATTCTACGCATGGTGTGCTTCCAGATGCAAAACAATGAGAGGAAGGAGTCTGACAGTGTAATGCAGTGGTTCTCAAACTTTAGTGGGCTTTAGAATCATCTTGGAGGGCTTGTTAAACAGAGATCACTGGACCCCCAGAACAGAGTTTCTGACTCAATAGGTCAATAATTCACCTGAAAATCTGTATTGCTAACAAGTGTTCAGGTGATATTGCTGCTGCTCATCCAGAGACTACACTGGCATAGTTTAAAGAATCTATGAATTAAAAAGAAACCAACCAACCAACCAAAAAAAAAAAAAAAAAAACCCTCAAATTAAAACTAAAGAAAAGCCACTAGTCTGCAAGTGGGTAAGGAGTGTTGTCTAAGAACATAAAAGCAGCATGGGTTTTGTGTCTCATTTTTCCCTTCAATCAAGTGAATCAGCTTGCAGGATTATAATGTTATACAGAGCTTTCAATTTACAGCCAAATTGTATTAAAGATTAAAACAACAATAAAGGATAACAAGGTATCAATCTGACAAGATTTGGCATTAGATGCCCTGCTTAATATTATCATCTTTGGGAGAAAATACTGCTGGAAATGTCAGAAAACAAATAAAGAATAGGAGGCCTGCCCTATTAATTGCATATTTATTCTTATCCTGCCCTCATTTTTCATATATGGACAATCACAGTTAATCACAAAGCATTTCTCTCGGGATCCTTTGTGAAGTGTGAAATAAATTTTCCAATAAAATGTTTAGTAGAGTGTGTCTGGTTTCCAATTAAAGAAACATACTTGTATAATATCACGAATTCCTTCCACGAAACATTTCCTTTGTATAGAAACACTTCGCAATAAATTTTAAAATAACCCTATTGTCAGGATAACTTAACAGCAGAGTGCCTGGTGAGCCCCACTACCCTTACTTCCCCCAACACTCCCTAAGGAATAGTCTGTACAGAATAACTTGATCTTGTCTGTATATGCAGTCAGCCAGTGTGGTGTGAAAACACCGTTACTCATCACACTAATCTATATGTATCACCCCATAATCAATACGGCTAGCACACCGCCAGAGTGATCGCGTAAACCAATTCTGTCAATGCATACCAAATGATTACCTACGGCCACCATCTATCCATGCAGTATCCAGAACAGACTTGGACTTACTTTTTTTCTGTTTTCACTCTGTTTCCTTTTGTCCCTTCCATGCTTTTAATCTTCCTTTAAAGAATCCCAATCTCTCTCTTAGTAACATGGAAAAAACACAATGAGGCAATCCATTTTCTGAATGGTGGAACCACAGATTCACAACATTTAATTAGAGCTAATTTAAGAGGGTTTTCTTAGTCTTTAGGACAAAATCCCTCAAGGGAAATAGTGATGCAATTATTTGATGTCTTTCACTTGGTTTGTTGGCTCACCTTTGGAATTCTTAGTTATGTCTGGAAAAAATCAGACAGGTGGGCTTGTCTTGATTCTTATGGAAGCAGCATTGTCCTGACAGTTTGATCACGGTTCTAGAAATCAAGTTTTTCCGGCTGTGAGTTACTGACAAGTCTGTCTCCAGCTTTAAGGACAGCCTTGCTTAGAGAGTTATTTTCTTTGATGTGGATGTCAAACTAACACACTGATCATACTGTAACAACTAGGTTTTTTCTTCCTTTATTAAAGCCACAGGTCAAAAGAAGTTACCTGGATTTCATGTGAACTATGAGAAGTGAGAATTTCCAAAGACTTTTTTAAAGGAACAAACTACCAGGAAATTTTTAATTGAAAAAAAAAAAAAAATAGATAACTGTGGTCATGTGAAATGAACCTAAAATTCAATATATCATTTGAGAAACCTCATTGAAAGGCTAAAGTATCTTCCTGTGTATGATAGACCAAAGTCAGAATGGTAATTGACTAGAGTACAGGATTTTAAAAGAATCAGATTTGCTGCTTTATCTCAAGTTGTCTTCTCAAGGGACTTTTTAAACACCTCAATTTTGAAATGAAAACAGTAAGAATAAAAATAATAGTGTAGATGGATGACTATTGAGGCAGAACTTGAAGTCTTCTAATGAGAAATTATGCATTTTAAAAACTGCCAAATACTTTGACTTTTACCAGTGTAGACATTACTTCGCTGTGGGAAGAACCATTTTTAATTAAGTGGATGTAAGACAAATAGGCATCCATTGTTCTGGGGCAAAAGTGCATTAGGCTTCTTTTTAATTTTTCCCCTGTGACTGAAGCTGCTCCACTCTAAATCCCTTAGAATATGAAATTCTAAGAATGCCATGAGGGGGATGAGCAAATTTCTAAAATGATTTCTGGAAAGAAAGTAACGGAAAACCTCACCCCTGTTTCCTTTGAGGTTGCAGGTTGTTCACATACCTTTAGTTGACTGAGGATGATGTAGCTGAAGTTAGCTGGAAGTTTAGAAGCCCCTGAAAAACTTACCACAAAGAATAGATTCCGGACTATGGAGTCAGGCTGCAGATTAGGCCTGGGTTTTCTTAGGCACAGTTTTCTTCCATGGAAAACTTTCCTGAACCAACCACCTTGACACAGTGGGTTTGCCACAAAAAGAAAATAAATAAGTAAGCTGTGTGAGCACCTGTGTGTTTAGAATGGGTGTCTGTACGTGGCTGCATGATATTGGGCCCACTGTCTGCTGGCAAGGGGTAACCATGGCTGAGGCTAAGAAGGCTTCCTCTCCCTACTCAGACCTACACCTGTGGAATCTCAGCAGGGCACAGTGAGAAAGCAGCACCATTTTCAACAGCCAGCACCTACCCACTGAAGCCAGAGGCTGAAGACAACCAATCAACTAATTTCCTCTTGATGGAATTTGATTATAATCTCAATTACCCACAGAATCTGAGATAGTCTCTGGATTACTGAGCTCTGCTAGAACAGTGGTATCCTTATAATGCTAAGATGGCTGCTCCAGCTCAAGCTGAATTGAATATTTAAAGAGATATGTCCCCATTTGGTTCTGGGGTTCATAACTGCTAGTGAATCTATGCCAAAATACATCATTTAACATTTATTCCAAGATTAGTGTATGCCAGACACAGCAGCAAACACTTCACACATATTAATCTTCATCATGTCTTGTTCTTATCTTCACCATGTCATGCTTTGACAAAAGATCATGCAATCATTAAGTGAAAGGCGAGCATTCAAACTCAGTCCCATCTGATTCAAGATCAGTTTAGCAATATAGAAGAAATCGGCCAGCATTATCAATCGCAAATTTCAAATGCTATTATGAAACTCTCTTAGTAAAGAAAATAATAAATAGCTGAAGCCCTGTTCATTTAAGGCGTTAGCTAATCTCTTAAAACCAATCCTGATTTATTAGAGAAAAATGAACGCAGTACAATGTAAACCTTATATTTTCAGAGAATAATTTCTAAGAAATTCTAAGTGAAGAGCAGTCAATGATGTTGTCAGTACACTTAATACTTTATCCTTCTATACGTTTTACACTGTATAACCCACCCTCCCATATGTAATTTTAATTGCTCTCCATAGGTGGCAATTTGATTGGAATTAAAGTTTAACTTGCCAACTTAAAAAGGTTTATTTCTTATTTAAAAAAAAAAAAAAAGAAAAAAAAGAAGGACACTTTCGAAGTATTAGCAATAACCCAAGCAAATACCATTTTCCCCTCCTATTTTCCCACTGCTTTTATTGGTCCCACTGTGCTCTTAGTCATTTAATCCAAGCTTAAAACCCTGAGGTCACTTCTCTTTCTCCTTCTTCCTTCATATTTATATACACACCAAGGCCTGTGACTTTTTACTTACTTATTTAATTACCCCACATTCTTGAGGTGACTTTTCTTTCTAGATTAAATATTAGCCACTATAAATTCTACTAATGATCACCTCATATTATATCCCAAGGCTCTTCATCAGCCTGCCTATCTTCAGTCTTACCTCCTTGATCCATACCATACGATCCCAAAATTGACTCACCAAATACCATGTATATCAGTTTCAATGGAGCTTTTTTGACTATTCAAGAATATATTAAATCATTAGCCTAATATTCAAGAAAACCCATAACCAAGCCCCAACCTGCATTTCTATCTCCCCTTTCACCTCTGTTCTCCTAAAGTCATTCCTCTTCCATCTTTCAAAGTTCAACTTAGATCGTATTTCCTATAGGAAAATGCTATGACCATGCCAAATAAAATAGATAGTCCATTGTAAATGGGAGGTGTCTATTCCACTTATTTAGCAAAAAATTATTACATGGAATTACCAGTTTCTTTCCATGTATATATCTTTATTTGAACTAGACTGCAGAAACTTGAGAGTAGTAACTACATCATGCATGTTGTTAATTCTTCATGGCACTTCTTATTACATATATATTTATACTCTTATATTGAGTATAAATTCTATATCGTATATAAATATACTGCATATAAATATTACTATTTCTGCCTCATAAAGTTCCATTTAACTTATTTTGGGAAACCCTCCCCTTTGTGAGATTTGTTTCCCTGACCTTAAATGAAATAGAGCGATGGCAGTAGATTGGAATTAGGTCAAATTTAGCTCCTATTTTAGTTGTTACTTAACATAAAGCTCTTTTTTTCAGGGCCCCATGGTGGAGTTCTGTTAGTCTCCATGTACGGAGTCTGTAATTGGCATAAATGTTCAGTGTCTATAGATGTACCAAGTGTCACAATCTGACTTTGTGACTCAAATGGATTTTGCAGCTCATACCACAGAAAAAAAAGACTATTTGATGACCAGTGACATCCCTTAAGCTGACAAATCACTTCCTTGTTATCCCTGGCATCTTCCACACCTAGCCCATTACTAAGTGACAGCTCTAAGGGATGCTGAAAGTTGAAGCAAAAAATGAAAACCAATATCATTAATTTAAATACTGACAGGCCTTAGGCAGACTGGAGCTTTAAGCCAGCCATTTTGAGACAGATACAGGATTTTGCTGTTAAGATCAAAAAGCTAAGTCCCATAGCTTTCCTGTGTGGCAGGTTTTAATGCCTAAAAGAAGTTTTAACAGTGGCTCAGCTAGTGGCTGGTCACATACACTGTGCCTTATGGTCCTCCTCTTAAGTGGGTTAACAACTTCTTTAGCTTAGATAAGTATTATTGATATGAATTCTGCTATGTCACATTAAAAGGGCATAGTAGGGGTCTCACAGCTGAGATTCAAACATCCTTGGGAGATGCTGCGGACAAGAGATCTGGCTGCTAGTCTATCTGCCCGAGGCAGTCTGGAACCTCTTGGAAAATAATTCTTTCTAAGAAAAGAAGGAATCAGGCCCAAAGCCTCAGCTGACAAAAATCAGCATGGTTTCTGTCATGCCATCTCCCCAGGGACTCATATCCGGGTCCAAAGAAAACGGAAGGCTTTGAGTAAAGACTAAATAACATTGGGGTGCAAGTTACTACTACTTTGAAAGAACCTCTAATAAAGGATAGCTCCCAAAATGGAAAAGGTAGTCCCCAGCAGAAGAGGCAGCAGTGCAGGAGAGACTAATGTGAGCAATCAGCACCACCTGCACCCAGAGGATGGAACAATGCTGCGTAAATGCACCAGCGGCGCCCAGAAGACACCATAGAGTTTATGATCATCTTGGTCACAAGCACATGGCAGTCACCCTTGTTGCCTTCTCAGAAATACCTGAGAAGGGTGATTAAAGGTGTTTAGAGGGCTAGAGTCTGGCAATGACCAGTGACAGCAGTGAAATACCATAAAACTACCAAACTGATCCCATTTTTACTCAGGGTGCACTGAGTGGAACTAATAACAATATAGCTAATGTTTATTGAGTGCTTTGAACAGACGTTTTTTACTTACTAGTTTATTTGATCCTCAAGTCAATTCTATGAGAAAGGTACTACTATCGTCTTCATTTCAGAGGTGAGAAACCTGAGTCCTAAAAAGGTGAAGTAATTGGTCCTAAAGCTAGGAGCTGATCAGTAATAGCCTAGAGATTTTAATGAAGTTCCAGAGCCTGATGGATAGCCACAAGTAATATAAGCTACTATTTGCTCGCACTATGGAAGGAGTTAGGAGGGCTTGTTATAAAAGCTAAATACAAATTATTTGTTTCAATAAAGGTTAAAATTGGTACAGCTGTTTAACATTAGGTAAGCATGTACTACAGCTAGGTAGGGGATAGGACCTCACTCTTAAAATGAGCCACAAAAATCTCCATAGCCTGGTAAGGAAACATCCCAGAGCAGGCAGCCTGATATACAGCAGGATAGGCTGAGGCCAGTACAGGACTGTTCAGCATTCCTGCAGCTGCTGCTACACTGTCTGAGACTCCATGGGAACTGCTCACAGATACTGGGAATTCTTTTTTTCTTTTTTCTTTTTTTTTCTTTTTGGATACAGAGTCTCACTCTGTCGCCCTTGCTGGAGTGCAATGGCGCTGTCTCAGCTCACTCTGCCTCCCGGGTTCAAGCGATTCTCCTGCCTCAGCCTCCCAAATAGCCACCATGGCCTGGCTAATTTTTGTATTTTTTGTAGAGATGGGATTTCACCATGTTGGTCAGTCTGGTCTCGAACTCCTGGCCTCCAGTGATCAGACGGCCTTGCCTCCCAAAGTGATGGGATTTCAGGTGTGAGCGACTGCGCTCACCTGGGGGGAATTCTTATTCCCTTGATGTGGACAGAGCAGGAGGTAGATACTCTCTGCATATTGGGAAGGCCACTGTTGGTACTTACCTGGGCTAGGCTTAAGGAGACTTTAATTCTTCCTGATTTTTCCTACAAACTTACTTCCTCTCTCTAGGTATTAGTTTCCTTTGTTATAAAATGAAAGAGTTGGAACAGCTCACCTCTGAATTTCCGTGTGACAAAGAAAGAAAGACTCTCTGAATTAGAAAACTGGGAAAGCAGTTTTTATATTTTTACTATAAACTTTTAGCAGGCAGGCAGGTAGGCAGGAAGGAAGGAAGGAAGGAAGGAAGGAAGGAAGGAAGGAAGGAAGG